ATTTTTGCAGTCAGACGTTCATCCAGACTTCATTCTCCAGCTGCAGGAGCTGCTCACACTGTGACATCTGTCAACATCTGCTTCCTCCCACCGAACACCTCCCAAATATAAATGACCAACCCACACTGCAGGTCTCCTCCTCCTCCTCCCTCTGACAGCACATGTGGTTCTGATTCATTTTCATCATCAGAACAGTCGGACCATAAACTGTAGAGATCAGTTCAGACAGACTGTGATGTCATTCAGTGTTTCGAAAGGGAATTTATATCTGCACACTGTCAGCTGTTGTTTGCCACGGAATGAAAAGGGGCCCCAGGGGACAGAGCAGTCGGAGGCCTGGGTCTCTGAGGAGATCAGGTAGTTGAGTCAGTAGTTTTTTAAATCTCATCTTAAAACACATTTTTATTAGTCTGTCCTGATTTAACTTTGTTTTTTTTTTATTTTACATGAATTAAATCTTCATTTCTCATTTTATTTATAGATAGAAAATGTAAAATTATATAAAATCAAATTATGTTTTATTGATTTCACTTTACCTTGATTTTATTTTTTTACTTTTGATTACAAGAAAGTAAAATGTCTGTAAAAGAAAACTAACAGCAGCAGAAACCTGCCACGAGGACAAAGTCAGGTCCTGGAGCTGCTGCAGCTTCAGAAAACAGAAGTTGCAGTTCAACACAAACCAGAACAAATGAGAAAGAAATTAGAGTTAAATGAACACAAGGACAGAGACATGGTTAAAACATGTTCTTCTGCTGTTTCCCCTGCACTGACATGTACACTATATTATCACTAGATGTGTTAAACTAAGCTGATGAAGAAGGCCATCTGAGTCTACGTTCCCAGACCTTTACGCGAATGTGAGGAAGGCTCCAGCCTCCTCATCATCGCTCCATACACATCTGTAGGGTGTGGGAAGATTTGGGAACATCATGATTTTATCTGATTCTGATTCTCCACTAGGATCCAGGGTGAAACTGGTCCTGGTGAGGGACCGTCTGACCAAACAGGAAGAGCAGAGTTCCTCAGTGCTGTTGTTGAAGTTATATCTCTAGCAGGGGAGACCGGACCAGTTCTATCCTCAGCTCTGTAAAGGTGTTGAAATCAAACAGACTCCTCACAGTTGTTGCTTTGTTTGTCTTTGCTCTATTAACTAATTGAAAGCAAATACAACAAAGGCTCCAATACTCACAAATAGTTTTTTATTACTAGTTCTGTTAAAGTGCTTCATATGTCAGACATAACAATCTGTATTTCCCTGAACGCCACTAGAACCATGGTGATTGCAGGAGGGTATAGTATAGTAGTATAGGGTATAGAATATTAAACTGTATATTAGCTGCTCCACTGCAAACATTTTAATTTCCAAGGACTTTGTGACAATTAAACGAACATATAGAACATATACAACATTTACATCATATACAACATACACAATATATACAATGTACATAACATATACAACATATAGCCTACAACATATACAACATATGGCCTAAAACATATACAATATATACAACATATATGTACATGATGTAAATGTATAACATATACAATAAATACAATGTAGATAACATATGCTACATATAGCCTACAACATATGAAACATAGCTTACAACATGTACAACATATGGCCTACAACATATACAACATTTACATCATGTACAACATATACAATGTATATAACATATACATCATATAGCCTACACCATATACAACATGTAGAACATATGTCATACAGAACATACACATCATATACAACATATACAATATATACAACATAAACATCATACACAACATATGCCTCACACACAGTAACGTTCAGCCACAACATGTTCAGTCTCAACATGTGTGTGATTGTGTGTTTTTTATAAACATGCAACAATGTGTGGACACAGTTGTCTTCCACCTGTCAGGTCAGAGGTCGCTGTTTATGTTTTGTAATGTATGGTTGTCATAGTGACAGGATTAGCTTGGAGGTACTGTAAGGGATAGGGGGCAGCTGTGTGTGTGTGTGTGTGTGTGTGTGTGTGTGTGTGTGTGTGTGTGTGTGTGTGTGTGTGTGTGTGTGTGTGTGTGTGTGTGTGTGTGTGTGTGTGTGTGGAGATACTATTTCTGAACAGGTCCCTCTCAGTTGTACATAGAGGATCTATTTTGGTGATGTCACCTTTCTCTGTCCCTCATGCAGACAACACTCACTCAGACAAAGAGGCTGATGATGATGTTATATTAATATTATCAATATCATCAATGGATTAATTGACTGCTAATATCAATATCATCAATGGACTCCTCTTCTCGTGACAGTGTCAGTGACAATGTCATTACACTCAGACTGTATGAGGATCACAGCTTCAACAAACTGCAGGTGGTTCTTTTCATAGCTGAAAGATTATCAGCATTGACCCCATAGATTACGTTTAAGGGGATAAGACCCAAAAAACTGCACCTATTCCAACCACCCACCTCCACCCACCAACCGCTGCAGATCACAACTGTTTCTTAAATTGAAGTCATGAACAGTAAAATATATTGAAGCAGCTGCAGCAGGTCATCATGAGGAGGACTCATCTGTGATCAGTTATATAACATCTGTGTGGAGGAGCTTTTCCTGAATGTCAGAGAAAATAACTCAGATGATGTCATCACAAAGGTACAACAGAAAATCTGGAGGTTAGGAGGGCCTGATGTAGGATCCAGTCATTTTATTATCTCGACCTCTGCTGTATTATGTTTAATTTAATTTTTATGTTTTAATCTCTACTTTGCTGGATGGAAACACGTAGTTATGAGTTATGATGATTCAGAGGTTTTTATATGATTGTATATCAATGTAATAATAAAACTACAGTTGTTAGTGGGGGATGTTTCCATGGAACATTCTGACCTAATAGAAGACAACAAGCTATTTTGTTTAACCGCTTATTGAACTTTGACCATATAAAACAATAAAATCACTGTGAGCAACCTCACCTGGAAACCAAAACAAAACAAATATAAAAATACTAATAAAAAAATAAACCTCATTCCAAACCCTCAGTGCGTGTGCGTGTGTGTGTGTGTGTGCGTGTGTGTGTCATGTGAAGCAGTATGGTATTTACCAGGGTTTTACTCTGATGCCTTTTTATAGCCCTGCTGACCATCACCTGTCTCAGTCTTTGTTACTCAGTGCACAGCAGCTTTAAAGACATGATGATAAAGAACTGGAGATCTGCTCACAGGGATTTCAGTGACTGCAGCAGGTTTCATTTATGTAAGTGAGGACGCCCACAGTGATTCTCAGTATGAGACTGTGATGGAGGTAAACATGCTGCTCTCTATCTGACAGTGTTAGTGACCCTCTCTGTCTCTGCTCTCTAGCACCACTAGTGGACAAACCTTCACAGGGTTCCTTTAAGTCCAGATTTACTTCCAAACTGAGCCTCAGCATCAGGTAATAATGCAGGTGAGCCTTAAGGCTCCTCCCACTTCAGTGTATAATGTGTTTCGTGGGTGAATTAATAATTGACCTCCTGATACTGCAGGTAGGAGGCAGCACTAACTCGCGGTACAGTACCGTGACTGAGACCCAGAACCTTGAGGGACCTCCAAACTCCAGGGCCACTGTGTTAGTGGACTGATGAGAACTACAGTAGTTCACTTAGCATGAAGAAACACCTGTAGTAATGTATGATTCAGGTAAAACCAACTTGTCCTCCACCCTGAACAACCATTAACCCTCTGATACGACCCAGAGGAGTGTCTCCTAAAATACCGCCCCTATGGCGGCAGGCGTACCGGACCTTGGTTGTCATGGTTACAATAATAAACACGCAGACTGTACCTTGGTGTGACTGTGCCATGGTTACTATAAAATCGGTCATGTGTTGGTGATTTGGGTTGGCTGTTGTCTGAATGTGATCTGAAATGACTCAGAGCTTCTTACTATGTCTGTGCAGACAAAGTATTTATATGAGACTCAAAGCAGCAACTGCAGAAGAGTTTTTTTTATTCCTGATTTGTTCTTTTTATGTGACATTAAACACCTGACTCTGACTATAACACACACACTGTGGCCTTATTACATTAGTTTAAATATTAATCTTTGAGACAAAGGAAACTGTCATCATAAGTCAATGTAACACAGTGCTGCAGGGATGATGTATGTTTGTAATCCAACGCTGAAGTTATCATCACTCCCTCCACAAAAAGCCAGTGGGATTTTAACACTGTCTTTTGGATTATTAGAGAAAATAAACAACAGTTTCTGATCCTGAGGTTTAGTTCAGCAGGATCATCTTCACTAATGAACATCACTTTATGATGTTCGAAGCGTAAATACAATCAGCAGAAGTAAAAAGCTAATGTTAGAATATAAACCAACTACACCACAGTCACATGACTTCAACATCGCCACCACTAAACTTCAACTAGTAGTTTGATTCAGCTCTGACCTCTTCTACAAAAGCCTTTCCTACACAGTTAGTAACAGTATAAACACATCGAGGCTATAAAGGTGGACTGGTGAGTTAATCAGGCTGTAAAGGTAGACCTTGATGTTTAACATCCCCAAACCTCTGTAGTCTCATTTAGACACTTGTTAGCAACCGGCATCACTTGGCCTAACTACTTCTGGGGCTTAACTTTGTTTTCAGATGTTTTTTTACCAGGGTTTTCTGCATTGTGGTAGTAGCCTTCCAGAGGACAGAAAGTTTGCTGCAGATGTTCATGACCTGCAAAGGATGAACCTTTAAGTATGCAGATGTGGTTTGAAGCTGAATGAAGGTTTGATTCCTGATGAGATGTGAGACCAGTCTCGCACACATTAAAATAATCATTGGGACTTCAGTTGTCTGTGTGTCAACAGACAAATCTTTGAATCTACTTTAATGACACTTCAGACTTCAACTTCCTGTGTCCTCTCCTCCCGCTCCTCATCTGATTTGCCCCTCCCCTTCCAGTCTGTTCCCCATCACTCTGTAATCACATCACTTTGTCTCTCTCTCTCTTTCTCTCGGTAGATCTGAGGGGAAGCAGACCAGACCTGCCCTCCCTGCCCGGAGAGGGAATCACAACCAGTGCTCCAGCCACACACGCCCTCTTCGCCTCCCATCATGCAGACCTCCGCTCTTCTCCTCCTCTCCCCAATCTTCGTCCTGTCTCTCCTCATCCCCACCTGCTCCACCCAGAGTGAGGCAGACCTCATCGTCCAGACACGTACCGGTCGAGTCCGTGGTATCCTCCTGCCAGTGCCGGACCGAAGCTACGTTACTTCTTTCCTGGGCATCCCCTTTGCTGAGCCGCCAGTGGGGAAGCGGCGTTTCCGTCGTGCTGAGCCCAAACGTCCGTGGACAGGGGTGTACGAGGCCAACGTCTACCCCAACGCCTGCTACCAGTTTGTGGACACATCATTCCCTGGCTTCCAGGGCAGCGAGATGTGGAACCCTAACAGGGATATGAGCGAGGACTGCCTGTACCTCAACGTCTGGGTGCCCTCCTCACCCAGACCACACAACCTCACCGTCATGGTCTGGATCTACGGTGGAGGTACTGGGTCAGATTGTACTCAGACTCTGTCTTCCAGTCAGGGCGTCAGGCTGGAGGTGGATAGAAAAACAACACAGCCTTCTGTAAAATAGGTCGACAGTATCCAGTTGATCGTGGCACGAGCTAACACACAGAGGAGCGTCACCATTTATTCATAATTCAAATACTGAGTGAACAAGATTAATTTTATGATCTGTAATCACCTGTCTCGCTCACCAGGTTTCTGTTTACATAATGTAGTTCTGCACAATCTGGATGTAGTGGTTTTGACTGTACAAAGTGGAGCTGCAGTACCTGTTCAAACCACATCAGGACCAGGCTGCTCTGTCTCACCTGTTACTTGTCATTGTAATTGAGGCAGTGGCCATGGTAACTGGCAGTGAGCTTGAAACGTGTTACTGAACAAAAGGTTTGATTATATGCAGATGATGTGTTGGTTTACACTGGGGCCAACAAATTCACTACTGCAAGGCAGATTTGACCAAATCTCATGTTTAAACAAAACTATGAGAGAGTCTCTGAGTCTGATACCTTTAACCTGTTTCCTTATCAATGTAAATATATATATTTAATGTGTATGTATGTATACTGGAGTATGAATAACTCTACTTAAAAGAGCACCATTCAGTCATAATCACCATGGTGACAGTTAGCTGCTACACAGTAAATCTTCTGCATGTTGTTGCGTGTTGTGATGCTCTTGGTTACTGATGGTGATATTAAACCCCTGCAGGGTTCTACAGTGGCTCTTCTTCTCTGGATGTGTACGACGGTCGTTACCTGGCTCACACTGAGACGGTCATTGTAGTCTCCATGAACTACCGGATCGGGGCCTTCGGCTTTCTCGCTCTGCATGGTTCCTCTGAGGCCCCTGGCAACATGGGTCTGCTGGACCAGAGGATGGCGCTGCAGTGGGTTCAAGACAACATCCATTTCTTTGGTGGAAACCCCAAACAGGTCAGTTATCACTGCTTTATTTACAGTATCTACACAGGAAATCTAGCGTGAGCTAATTCTGCCTGTCCTCTGCCTGTTCAACAGGTGACTATCTTTGGGGAAAGTGCTGGTGGTGCCTCTGTAGGATTCCACCTCTTGTCTCCAGACAGCCGGCCTACCTTCACCAGGGCCATCCTCCAGAGTGGGGTCCCCAACTGCCCCTGGGCCTCAGTCAGCCCCGCCGAGGCCCGCAGACGGGCCACGCTGCTGGGGAAGCTGGTTGGCTGTAATGGAGGAAATGACACCGAACTGGTGGACTGTCTGCGCAGCAAAACTCCACAGGAGCTCATTGACCAGGAGTGGCAGGTAACGCTGACTCAGCCAGGAGCCGGTGGAGCCACTTGTTTTTAGGCCTGGTTATATTCACTCACTCAGATCAGCTCAGTGCTACATCTGTCGTCCTCCTCTGAGCAGGTCCTGCCATGGTCGGCCCTGTTCCGGTTCTCATTTGTCCCCGTTGTGGACGGAGAGGTTCTGCCTGACACTCCCGAGGCCATGCTCAGTTCAGGCAACTTCAAAGACACTCAGATCCTCCTCGGGGTCAACCAGGACGAGGGCTCCTACTTCCTGCTGTACGGAGCGCCGGGCTTCAGCAAGGACAACGAGAGCCTGATCTCCAGAGAGGACTTCCTGGAAGGTGAAGATCCAACTCAGAGATAATATGACATCGTTACAGGAAACGATGTCCCCACACAATCCTTTCTAAACTCCTCATATAATAAGATATCCCTCTGTTAATGTGTCTGATCAGAGAGAACCGTTCTTCCACCTGTGGAACAGTAAAACCTGTACTCTTCACCTGCCAGGTGTCAAGCTGAGCGTCCCACATGCTAACGACATCGGCCTGGAGGCGGTGGTCCTGCAGTACACCGACTGGTTGGACGAGAACAACAAGTTGAAGAACCGAGACGCCATGGACGATATCGTGGGTGACCACAACGTCATCTGCCCTCTGGCCCACTTCGCCCGCTCCTACGCCCAGCACAGCGCCCTGAAGGCCAACACGGGTGGCGCTGGGGTGATGAACAGTGCAGGAAACTCACAAGGTGAAGTATCTGAGGGTGTGTGTATGTTTACCTCAGCACTCCCGGACTGTTATTGTGTGTATGTATATAATAATCATTGCCATCATCATCGTCACCGTCACTGCCACCACCATCAACTCTATAAGGTAATAATGAATAAAAACAAAAAACGAAGTAATTAAATAGACATCAGGATGTTACTTTGACTAATTACTCATTATGAGATCAGCAGCTCTCAGACTTGTTCTTCGTTTCTGTATATGTCCTTTTTCATACTGTTAAACACAGCTACACTGCAGAGTGATGTTAACACTAACCAATCCCATGTGACCTCTTGATCAATAACATATTGATATTAAGATTTGATGAGAGTCTTTGTATCACATTTGGTTTCGGTTTCAGTCTCAACATTGTCAACATCAGATTTAACACCCATGTTTCCAAACATATAAAACTACAGTGAAGTATAATGTGAAGATTGAAGGCTTTAGTCCAATGGTCCAATGTTGTCTATGTTTCTACTTAATAGAGTAACTGAACTACACTAATGTTCAAATTAAAAAAGACGAACAGTTAAAACAGATGAACTTTTAGTTTAAAACTTGTTCTGAAGAAATAATCAGTAAATTTGAATTATTATTATTTCAAATAAAAAGAAAAAAATAAAACTCCTGCAGCAAACAGACATAAAAAGAGCCCTTGTAAAACGTTAAGCTCTGTTCTCTTGAGCTCTCAAGAATAAACTGGTTAGAGTTTGGTGGTCAAAGGTCAAAGGTCAACTTCACTGGGACATCACTGTGCATGTTAGCTCAGGTAGGTATGGAAGCGTAATGCATTCACTTAAGAAAAAAATGTTCTGCTCTGTTTTCTGAATCAATGAAATAATCATCTTGTTAATTCAGAAAGAGGAGAAGAGGATTTTTTTCATCATCTGCAGAGGGTGGTGACTTCAGATCATTACTGCAGACAAAAATAATCATCATTCTCTGCTCCTCCAGGAGGGGTCTACCTGTACTTGTTTGACCACCGAGCCTCCAACCTGGCCTGGCCAGAGTGGATGGGTGTGATCCACGGCTATGAGATTGAGTTTGTCTTCGGCCTCCCGCTGGAGAAGAGACTCAACTACACCCTGGACGAGGAGAAGCTGAGCCGACGCATGATGAGATACTGGGCCAACTTCGCACAAACTGGGTGAGACGTCATACACTGGAGAAAAATATCTACTGTATGTAGATGTTAACTGTATGATGCAGCAGAGAGGAAACTGTGGAGATAATGTTGAAGTTTTTATTCAGGTTGATCTGTTTTTACCCCCCCCCCCTTGTCAGAAATCCCAATGTGAACCATGAGGGGCAGGCGGAGAGCAGGAGGCGCTGGCCTCTGTTCACCGTCAGTGACCAGAAACTCGTGGGACTCAACACTGAACCTTTGAGGGTCTACAAAGGTCTGAGGAACCAGATGTGTGCTTTCTGGAACCGCTTCCTGCCACGCCTCCTCAACATCACCGGTAAACATCCCACTCCTACATGTGAGGTCATGTGACTGGAGGCAGCTCTCTGCTGGTCACTGTGCTCCCAGTTAAACCTGCTGCAGGTGTCTAAAGGTTCTTATCATCAGTCATAAAGAAACAGGCTTGACATGACACAGACAGTAGAGAGCAGTGAGAGCAGACGCATGTAAACATGGAGGAAGTGATTAGTTTGCATTAACAGTGAACATCACAACATATGATAAGATATAAAACAAATGAAAATAATAAATAAAACTTGATGAGAGTCGCAGGTAGAACAGGTGACATTAATCATCAGGTCATAATTACCACTGAGTCTTGTGGCTGGTCCAGGTCTCCTCTCCTCTGGTCCAAACCAAGCATCAACCTCCAGGCTGAAAACTGAAGCCAACGCTTCAATGTTGAAACTGCACTTCCTGTAATGACCACTAGAGTCAAAAAACAGTTTTACTCATTCATGACAACTGTTTATATAACTCACCTGTTTACATTTTATTAAGGACTAAAGTTATGTAGAATTAAGGGCGTGGCCTCTGAGTGACAGAGGGGTCACCATCTCAGTCCCACACACACCCCTCCTCTTTGCCCACTTTTCGATTAGCTGGGAGTTAGGGGCGGAGTCAGACACTGCCAAGATGGTGACAGTGGAGCAATTCACTCTAAGCTTCAGAAACTTTTGGGTGATGTCACGGAGGCTACGTCCATCTTTATTAACAGTTACAGTTAGTTGATTATTTGTTGAAATGTGGCTCTTTGCTTCTTCATCACTCTCGGACCAGCTGATGTTACATAAGACCCGTCCTCTAGTAACAGCTTTGTTCTCTGTGTGTTCTCAGACAACATCGACGAGGCGGAGCGTCAGTGGAAGGTGGAGTTCCACCGCTGGTCCTCCTACATGATGCACTGGAAGAGCCAGTTTGACCACTACAGCAAGCAGGAGCGCTGCACCGACCTCTGAGCGCCTCGGCAGAGAGCTGAGACCGACAGGGAGGGGGGGGGGGGGGTCCCTCCATAGCCCCTCACTCATGTCTGAGTTCACCTTCATTTTTTATTTTGAATGTTTGTGTGTCGGCTCACAGACTCAGGCTCTGTGCATCTTATTTATATTATTTATACTATTTATTTATGTTTGTTCTGAGTTTGTCTCAGTGGAAATCAGGGCTATGGAGGGAACTGGTCATCAGTGTGGAGGAGGGTTAGAAACGATGTGTCATTACCTCGGGTATTGGTGTGTGTGTGTGTGTGTGTGTGTGTGTGTGTGTGTGTGTGTGTGTGTGTGTGTGTGTGTGTGTGTGTGTTTAACTCAGACAGGCCCATGACACTGCACCACTGCTGGTTCACTGTGTTCAGTTTCTCCTCTGATTCCTTCTTTATCAGGGTTTTATTTTCTGGACTCATCAACACTGTCTCTCATTTGTGTCCAGACCTTCAGTCTCATTCTTCTTCATGACCACTATCCTGACACCGTGACCTCTTTGTCTTGTGTATCTCTCAGGTGGTGAAGCCAACAGCTGGTCTCCATGGAAACATTAGACTTTCCTCAGTGTTGGGAGAACGTTCAGTCTGCTGTAGATGATGAGACATTCAGCCCAGTGACTGATGTCTGATCCTTGTTACATTACAGACAGAAACAAGTCATGTTCATGTCCGTGGCCTCATCAGCTCAGTTTAGAGTCACCTGATCTCAGGTCAGAAACAGGAAGAGGGAAGAGAACTATTCACTGATGATCTTAGAAAGTGTCAGAATAATATGTTTAATAATATCATCTAAAAGTTACTGAGTGAGTTTAAAACAGAAAGATCTGAGCATCATAGTGTCAGGTTTGACTCTTCACTTGGGTTACAATTAACAGGTGTTTAAATGATCAATGAATGAATGAATCATTTGATTATTGCGTCCATAAAACGAGTAAAACCTGACGACAGCAGATGGTTAGTTTGACTTCTCTGAAACTCAAATATTTCTTCAGTGAAAACAGAAATGGTTATTCAGTTATTATTAAAATCGTGAATTTTCATTCAGTCAACCAATGGACTAATCATTAGCTCTTAGCTCTGTTAACATCAGCCACCCATTATAAGTGTACGAGTGTTGAACAAGGGAGTGGTTCGTTGTGTATTTGTCAGATGAAGATGATGTTCATTCATTTTTAAAGTTACATATTTTTAAAGCTGCTGAAGGTAAAAATATCTCAGTGTGGCACCGCCTGGTGGCAGCACTAAGAGCAACCATGGTAATGATGATGTAATACTACTTCCTGTGTCACATTATCTCGACGTAAATGACTCGAGGTTTGTGTTTTATTTTATTTTGACAGTTTCTTACGTCATAGTGAGTGAGTCGGTTTCTACAGGGAGAAACGAGGGTCATAAAGTCTGGATCAGGATCAGGATCAGGACTGACACCGAGGTCATGACCTCCTTCAATTAAGATTACACTAACGAACCCACAGTGATGTCAGACTCTGTACATGTGATGACACAAACTAATGAAGAAGTCAGTGTGTCAACACCTGAACTTGTTATTATTCAGTGTGTGTTATTCAGTATTATTCTGTGTGTGTGTGTGTGGGTGTTGTGTGGTGTGTGTGTGTGTGTGTGTGTGTGTGTGTGTGTGTGTGTGTGTGTGTGTGTGTGTGTGTGTGTGTCATCCACTCAGTGTCCTGTACAGCTGTGATGCATTTCATTAACATTTGTGTGTGTGTGACTGCTCTCTCTCTCTGTCCCATCATTTTTCTTCTTCTCTTTTCCTTCCATCCTCCTCTTTCCTCTCTCTCACCCTCACCTCCTCCCTCACCTTTGCTCCATCCTCCCGTCCTCCTCCTGTGTCCTCCACTTCCTCCTCCATCTGTTCCTCTCTCTCCCTCTCCTCTTCCTCCTCCTCCATCCTCTTCCTCCTCCATCTGTTCCTCTCCCTCCATCACCGCCCTGTTGTCTGTCCTCTCTTCCTTCTCTCTGCTTCTCCTTCCTCCACCTCTTTAATCTTCCTCTCCTCTCCGCCTATCATCATCATCTTGTCTCTAACCAACCTCCACCCACCCTCCTGTCTCTCCTCCTCTCTTCCTTTCATCCTTCCTCCATACCTCTTTTTTCCTCTCCTTCCATCCCTGCTTTATCCCCCTCTTTCCTTCCACCTCATCTAACTTTTCTCCTCTTCATCATCCCCCCCACCCCTCCACTGCTGTGTCCTGCTTTCTCGTTAGTCTAATGGAGACAGAGTAATTCACTCAGCAGCAGGATAATGTGACAGAGCGCTGGCTCAGCCTCCGGGCTGCCAGCCCCCAGGACACGATGGATGGATGGAGGTGAAAAGGTAGAGAGACGAGGAGAGGAGAAACAGAAGAGGAGGAGGAGGAGGAGGAGGAGGAGGGAGGCGGTGATGTGATGGAAAGATGAAAGGACAGTCAGAGAAATACATCATTACATAAGAGTCCGGAGAAAAACAGCTCCACTGTGGCTCTGATGCATGAAACTGTCCACGAGTCATGAGACTCTCAGGATGACTTTAATTATGAACCATTTATTAATCAATAATCAACTCAGATTCATTTCATCCCAGGAAAAGTAGATTTTACCAAAATAAACCAGGAGCTAAATGTCCCATCCTCTACACCTGCAGACTGGACTAGTAGTTGTCAGACATTATTATTGTGATGGGTTTAGGAAACGTTCAGCCTGATCCTGATCCTGATGATGATGATCCTGATCCTGATGATCCTGATGATCCTGATCACCACATTCCTAACACATGATGTTTGCTGTCTAATGTAAAACAGAATCGGTTCCCAACACTGTGACACAAGTTATTAACCTCTGAAAACAAGATCATTCACTTCACAGGTTCTCATTTTGTTCTCATCAGATCCACATGAGAACAAGGTAAAGAGCTTGTTATCAGCTGGTTCATCACATACACCAGTCATATTTTACTGAAGAAGCTATTATGTTGTATCAAAGATCAACATGTTGTCGTCTTTGGAACAAGATGTTTCACCTCACAGCTTCTCATCTTTGTTTTCATCAGACCCATATGTTCTATGTTCAGATTATCAGGTCGTTATCTCCTGCTGTTTCACATATTCAACTCGTGATAACTCGCCTTTATGTTTCACCTCATAATATTTCTCCTCTCATGATCTTATTTTTCACATTTCATCAAGTCAGTTATTTTCCTGTGAGAGGAAGATTCATATGTTGTCAGCACTAAATAATAATTAATATGAATAATTAATAATTCTTAATAACACTGAAGGTCATCCTCAGATCTTTCATTTACATCATCTGTGTGTGTGTGTGTGTGTGTGCTTGTGCGTGCGTGTGTGCGAGCGCGCGTATGCGTGCCTGTGTGTGTGGGTACCTGTCTCTCAGACTCTGCTCTTCTGATTTGAACAGTGGGCGGGAGCGGCGTCGGCTCTGATCTCTGATTGGCTGACGCTGGTCCCGGTCTCTGTTGGCATGTGAAGCTCCTGTTTCTGGATCTGGTCTTGTAGTGTCGCTTTAAAAGAACTAAATATGAATAAAGGATTGTACCTGATGTCTAAAACTACCAGTGAAGAATGCATGTGTGACAGGCTGTGTGAGTGACAGCTCCTCCGGCTCCTCTCATCCAATGGGAGACCCTGCTTAAGCCCCGCCTCCCTCCCCAGCCCTCCTATCAGACCCTTGTGCATGCCCTGCAGTGGACCCTGTCCCAGTATAACCTGCCAAACGTGGACTGTTATTTCTGTAAGATTTGTACTTTTGAACCAGACTATTATCACAGTGAGTCATTTATCTTTAATGTTAGTACGCTGGATGTTAGCAATAACCTAAATAAAAGCAGTAAAGGAATATATTTGATATTTAATACGACATGATTAAACAATGATCATGGATAGAGGTTGTGTTTTAAAGCAATATTATTATTCCCAGTATAAACTAACTGAGTGCCATAACTTCTTCTGTTTGTACCAGTCTCTGTACGTGTTGAAGGCTTCTGTAGCTCCAGTTTGTCTCTGTGTATCATGAATGCTGACTTGGTTAAGCTATAGCAACAGAAATAAAGAGCCTGCTGCTTCTGCCAGCCTCCAGCTTTCATTGACTCTCAACATGCACCGTCAGCTGATCCAGACCAGGATCCAGACCAGGGACCGCTTTCACCAAGATATGTCAGACTGGTCCGTGGTGTTGGTCCAGTCTTCATTTGTGTCACAGATCAGTCTGATGTTACTCAGACTGTTTCACAAAAATAAAGACTCATTTTAACACAAAAACATTACACACTTTACCCCCAGGCAAACACAGGCCTAAGACCAATGTTACCATAGTAACAATCAATGACACCTGTGCTGTTATTAGAGATCAAACTCAGATTTTTCTTTTTATTGTTTCAGTCTTCAAGTAAAATTCCCTTGTAACTGTTGATTCATTCCAAAACACAAATATTTTCTTCTTGCAGTTGGATGCAGTTCCTTGGTCGGCCATCTTTTTCTATTTTGAAAAAAGTCTTAATTTTCCCAGAATTCATTGAGCCGCAGTCCGGCTTTAGAGGGTCAAGAACTAAACTGCTTTGTTCAACGAACAGTCAGACGTCTATCTGAAATCTGACTGGCTAAGATCTGTCACAGCACCACCACCATGTGTATGTGTTCAATTGTAACCACTCACTCATTTCATCAAGGTAAGATAAATGTCAATGAACTGTTGAATAATAACAACAGTATGTGAAATGATGGCGTGACTAGAAAACTTTAATTGTGACCTTTGACACCCTTGTCTATAATCTGAGAGTTATTCTCTCATACAGACTGATGACGGCTACTGTGGTTAAGTGCATCAGCGGATCTCTGACCGGGAAAAAAAAACTGATAATTAATTAAATAATTAATTAATCAGAATGATAAATATGAGACTAAACAATAAAGAACCAGTTTTGTGTGACAATCAGTCATGTTCATAACAGTGGGCTCCTGCTGCCACCTAGTGTCTCCTCTCTGCACTGAACAGCTGAAGATCATCAGACTGAGAATTAAAGCACAAGTCTTTCAGCTCTGGTCACTGTCCTGTATATTAGTCTGTACTGTGAGACCATACGTCCTCTGCTGTGGTCCCACAACTCACAGCACAGAAAACACTCTGTCTGGTACCAACACATCACACCAGCCTCAGCCAAACATGTGGTTTTACACATTCTCCTGTCCAAACAGCTGCAAACTCTACAACAGGAAACATCAGATTCACAACAGCAATCAGATTTGGATGAAACACAAAAACCAGTAGAGACAGACTCATTCAGACTGTTCTCTTTTTATATTATAACAGTTACATCGTGAGCAGCAACTGGTGACGGAGGGAAGGAAAACCTGCCAATTACAGGTAGAAAGCACCAACAGAACCAGACTCAGATCAGTCAGGGGTCAGGTCCCCATATATGAACCCTGAAACAGGTTTTCCCCTCCTGTTCTGGTCTTGAAGAGAGCCTGCGCTCTCAGCGTAAGTGATGGGGGACAACCTCTACAGCTCTCTGTATATATCTGAAGCTCGTGTGAGGCCTCATCCGTCTGAGTGAGAACCTTCTGAACTCACTGCGACTGTAGCTGGAGAGACTGTTTGTGTTACTGTGGAAACATAAAGAGGGAAGTTAGCACTGAGAAGTTTCTTTACTTGTGTTACTCCAGTGGTTCACAACCTTTTCCAACTCATGGCCCATTTGTAAATTTCAAAAGTGTTCCAACATCCAACAGCATAACAATATGGAGGCTAAATAATCTGTTCTCAGATCAGGACTGAACTGAGAGCAGAGGAAACATGAAGCTCAGTATCAGCTGAAGTTAAAGAAACACAGCACAAGGCTGTTACAGATGTGTACACTGTACCTGAGCAGGTTAAATATGTGAAACTTAACTTTTAGCTTTTATATGCATCGCTTCTTATACTGAAAATGAGTCATTTTTTTTCTGGGAAAACCTTCATGAAGAAATATTTCCTCAATGATTGATGTTCTGAAGCAGAAACATTCATTTTCCTTTTTAAAAAAAAATAATTTTAAAAGTTTATCCTCACTAAAAGTGATGGAATCAAAAAACAAAGAATGTTTACACACACACACACACACACACACACACACACACACACACACACACACACATTGATGAAACTGTTTTATTTCTTCATAGTTTATAAAGTTGTGACAGGATAGGGTTTCCATATTTTTGCTGTAAAAGGTTCATCACCTGGGTTTTAATAAGACAGTCACGTGAGACTGAGTCCTAACAGACCTCTGTCCCGGTCTGTGTGTCCCGCAGCAGCTTCACTGAACAGGTCTAGTCCAGGTCCAGGTCTAGTCTGCTCATCCTCAACAGGAAAATCGCTGATTCAAGGTCTCAGCGGGAATAAAAGTTGTTTGGCATGATGGCAGTAAGTGGGGGTGCTGCTTGATTAGGGCGGCTGAAGAAGACCTTTATTTTGAAAGCAGCGACAGGAAGTGCCAGAGAAGAGTCTTCAGTCCAAATGTTCCTGTTGTGAAATTCCTCAGGTTCCTTTTGTTCGGGGGTCCGGGTCCGGGCTGAACGGGTTTCTGGCCTGATAGAGGCACAGTGATAAGACCACCGGGACACAGTCCGGGTTAGAGAGCGGACTGAGCCGGACCGGGTCTGAGCGGCTCCTCAGGACACTTTTTCCAGAAGTTTAAGGAAAGTCGAGGGAAAGGAGGGAAGGAGGAAGATGAGGAGGAGGAGGAGCTGAGCAATGTGGCAAAACTTTGGAGAACGACGTCAGTAGTTGAGTCAGTGTCGGAGACTGAGGTGAGTCCGGTTTTACTTTATTTAAAGACTGAAGGTTTTATTCTGACCCCCTGGACCCGGGACAGACACATGGGAACTGGACTTTATTCCCTTTGTGCTCGTTTCTGCGGTTCTTCCTGTCCAGTGTTGAACCTGGTGTCAGATGATCCGGATCATCGGGCCTGTCCTCACCCTCAGTGTTTAGTCACTGTTACTGTTGCACAGACGTGAAGACATAAACACAGTTAAACTCTGTTTCTATTTATTCTCTCTTCCTCAGCGTTAAAACGTCTGAAGGAACAAACTCAAGAGTTTTAATGTTAATGAACGTTACTGTTGTTTTTTATACTCATTACTTTACATATTACTTTATAGTTACTATGAAGTGATGAACCAGTTCTGATTGTCTATCTGCTGATATAGTCTCATTCTGCCTGCTTAGTATTAACATGTCTACAGAAACCAGTAGACCTCCTCAGACAGAGACCACCACAGACCACAGACCACCACTTAGTTTGATGTCTCAGCTGGGATCTAAAACCCTGAGGTACCACAAACGCCAGCAGCCATTATTAATCTGACCATCATCTTACTGTTGGATATTAATGACAACAAAGCTGTTTATGACAGAGTAAAAATAAGTTTGACTGTGACACTAAAACAAGTCTTCTGTTTGTTTTAATCTTCGTTCTCTTTTCAACAAAAGACACCAAAGTTCTCAGATGTTAAACGTTGTCTAAACCAGTGGTTCTTCTTTTTGCCCCTGGGGACCCCCAGGGGTCCTTCAGGGGGTCCCTGGAGGCAAAAAGAACATTTATTTTCTCTATAATTTCATCCATAATTAACACAATGACAGAATGTTTGACTATTTTGGTTGTGGGTTTAAACACTTTCTGTAATAAAACATCTAAAGGTAAACATCTTATCAGATGGGGGTCTGTGGTCTAATCAGTGTCACTTTAGGGTCCTTGATGTGAAAAACTTTGAGAACCACTGGACTAAACAACAGAGCTTTGTTAAAATCAAATATGTCTAAAACTGGTAAAAATTAGATTGAAATGATCAACATTATAAACCTGAGCATACATTCATGGACCAGAATCAATGATATTTTCTGTAGTTTATTAGTAACTACTCAGTCTGTGTGATCTGAGATCAGCTGTCTGACACTAATTGAAGCTGACTGAGGATGAATCAGTTGGAGCCTGTATTCATGCTCATGCTTCTGTCTCCACTGTTTTTTTTTAATTTTTTTATTTCGTAAAAATACCTTCAACACAGCTGTAGGTGTTCAGTGACCTGCAGGGTTTATTATTCAAACAGACGGGTGGTCAGCTCTGTGGATGTGATACATGAGACACTCTGGTTGTTTCCTCTTCACCCCGGCAGAAATAAAACTACAGTGGACAAACTCTGAATCCTTTGACACCATGTTACTCTCTGAGCACTGGGCAGTGTGTTTCTGGTACTGTACTGGTTACACTGGGATAAAGTCCAGGTATCACTGGGATAAACCTGTGTCCTCCCACCTCTGCAGATGGAGGGAGAGAAGGAGCGACAGCGGCAGCAGCGGGAGGAGAAGGAGAGTAACGAGGCAGAGGATGACAGGAGGAGCGATGATGATGCTGACAATGAAGAGGAGGAGGAGGATGAAGATTCGGAGGGTGCAGCGCTGGTGTGGCAGGAAGGCTACGGTGAGGACAATCTGGGCCTTCCCATCATGCACTGGGAGGCGCTGAGCCTGCGCATCGCTGAGCTGGAGAAACAAGAGGAGGAGAAGAAGGAGAAAAAGGCAAAGGTAAGAGGTCATAGTCTGTTAATCCAGAGTGTTAATCCTAGGTCTGTTAATCCTAAATCTGTTAATCCCACGTCTGTTAATCCCAGGTCTGTTAATCCCAGGTCTGTTAATCCTAGGTCTGTTACTACTGAGTCTGTTAAACCAGAGTCTGTTAATCCTGAGTCTGTTAATCCTGAGTCTGTTAATCCAGAGTCTGTTATTCCAGAGTGTTAATCCCAGGTCTGTTAATCCAGAGTCTGTTAATCCCAGGTCTGTTAACCCTGAGTCTGTTAATCTAGAGTGTTAATCCCAGATCTGTTCATCCAGAGTCTGTAATAAATAACAGGGAATATTTTATTTATTACAGAGACACATGTGGATTACAAGCTGTTTCATTTCATTGTTGCTGTCTCTCAGTTCAGACTTTAATCTGTTTCTGTTTTTATTCAGTATCCACAATAATTTAAGACAGAGTCCGGTTATTTCACCATTTAGTTTTTTTGAAAATTTAATTAAAGATGAAATTGAACTAAATTAAGATCTATCTTTGGCCTTATGATGTTTTGTGGCTCATGAAAAACAAATCCTCATGATGAGTATTGGGTGTTGATCTGTTCTGTCTCGGACCACATTTAGACCAACACAGTCCGTATGTTTAAATACACACTAATATTTCACTATTTTTCCAAACATGACAATATTCTGAAGTTGATATAGGTGATGTTAACAGCATATTCTATTTGGATATTCTGAATTCAGTATTTTAATATTGAAACATGTGGGATATGCTGTTATTATTCAGGTTTTCGGAGCAGTCTGTGGACATGAAAACCGATCATTCAGAATATGTGTCTCGGTTGGGTTTTTACAGCAGCTCATGACCTACAGCCTCAAGACTTGTACCTGTATCAACAGGTTTTTGGATGTGCACAAATATCACAACACAGACTTTTTTAATTGAAGTTAATCAGAGTATGTATGACTGCATGTAAACGGGAATATTAGTGGAGTATTCATGTTCATAGCCACATAAACACATAAACAGCTTAAGAGGAAGGTTGTCTTTTTTGGAATGAGGGCAAAAATCCAGAACCCCCCCCCCCCCCCGACTTGACGTGACCTGTTGTGTAACTGTTGTGTGGTTTCAGAGTGGAGTCCCTCTGGAGAGAGGCAGAGCTCCGGTGAGCTGGTCGGAGGAGAGAGGCAGGAGAGCAGAGAGCTGGGAGGACGGAGACGACGCCTGCAACAGCCACGTGCTGGCCCTCACCTCCCGGTACACTCTCCAGATACACTGATCACCAACACTGAAGACCCAAAAACTGCAGTTCCTCTAATGACCACTAGAGTCTGGCTCCAACAGTGAGTCAGTCCCCATAGACTCCCATGTTAAAATCCAACTTTACAGCAGCAATAAACATGTTTACAGCCTGGTACAAAAACAGTTTTGCCCTCTAGAGCTAATTTCCTCCTTCATGACACCTGTTTATACAACTCACCTGTTTACATTTGAATTAGGACTGAAGTTCTGTAGAATTGAGGGCGTGCTTCTTTGAGTGACAGGTGGGCGAGCGTATGCTTGCCATTAACCGTCATGAACCGAAGTCTCGGCTCCACAGACGCCTCACCTCTTTGTCCATTTCTGGATTAGCTGGGAGTTAGGGGCGGAGTCAGACACTGCCAAGATGGCGACAGTGAGCAGCTCACTCTGAGCTTCAAAACCACTCTTCAGAGACCTGTGGGTGACATCACAGAGGCTACGTCCATCTTTATTTACAGTCTATGAGTAGAGCCCAGCAGTTACAAATGTTATGTTATAAAGTAATGGGGTGTTAATCTAGTTCACACAGTCTGACCTCAGTCTGTATCTTCTCCCTGGGAGCTGAGCTGTTTGTTTCTGGAGACCAGTCCCTGAACCAGCACCAGTGTCAATCTAGAATGTGTCCGACTGTTGTGTGTCCTCCAGGCTGCAGACACAGATGAATCTTCAGCTCTGCTTCATCAACAACAGTGAGAGTGAGGAAGAAGAGGAGAAAGAGGGAGATAACAGCAAGAAGGAGAGCTCCAGCTCCCGGGTAACTAAAACCAGTTCAGTATGATCCAGCAGATCTGGACCTGAGTGACCTCTGTGGAGCTGGAAGAGTTTAAATCACATCCTCCTCCCGCCTCTGTTACAGAGAGGGACTGTCCAGGTTCAGAAGAATCCTCCAACTGCTTCTAAGCCAGAGAAACCAAAGTCCAGAGGCTTCAGGAGCACCCTGAGGAGTCTCCGAGACCGGCTGAGGACCACAGACCACAAGACCCTGGTGAGGCTGCTGTGACAGGAGGAGTCTGTCAGACTGTGGTGATGTAGCTCTGTATCAGCTGATCACAACTCTCCTCCTCCTCCTCCTCCCTCCTCTCCTCTTCTTCCTCCTCTCTCTACTCTTCCTCCTCCTCAGACTGCAGCTCAGACTGGTCCAGTGGTCCAGAGGAGACATGTGGAGCGTAGTGATCTACAAAGCTTCAGTTTAAAGGAGCTCAGTTCTCTCTGTGATTCTCTCAGCCAGACCATCCAAGGTACAGACCCGCTCACAGACCCGCTCACAGACCTGCTGACAGACCGGCTCACAGACCCGCTCACAGACCTGTTCACAGACAGACCCGCTCACAGACCTGCTCATAGACCTGCTCACAGACCTGCTCACAGACCTGTTCACAGACCTGTTCACAGACCTGCTCACAGACGTGCTCACAAACCTGTTCACAGACAGACCCGCTAACAGACTCACTCACAGACCTGTTCACAGACAGACCCGCTCACAGACCCGCTCACAGACCTGTTCACAGACAGACCCGCTCACAGACCCGCTCACAGACCTGTTCACAGACAGACCCGCTCACAGACCCGCTCACAGACCTGCTGACAGACCGGCTCACAGACCCGCTCACAGACCTGTTCACAGACAGACCCGCTCACAGACCTGCTCATAGACCTGCTCACAGACCTGCTCACAGACGTGCTCACAAACCTGTTCACAGACAGACCCGCTAACAGACTCACTCACAGACCCGCTCACAGACTCGCTCACAGACAGACCCTCTCAGAGACAGACCTGCTCACAGACCCGCTCAGAGACAGACCCGCTCAGAGACAGACCCGCTCACAGACCCGCTCACAGACCTGCTGACAGACCGGCTCACAGACCCGCTCACAGACCTGTTCACAGACAGACCCGCTCACAGACCTGTTCACAGACCTGTTGACAGACCTGCTCACAGACGTGCTCACAGACCTGTTCACAGACCCGCTAACAGACCCTCTCAGAGACAGACCTGCTCACAGACCCGCTCAGAGACAGACCTGCTCACAGACCCGCTCAGAGACAGACCCGCTCAGAGACAGACCTGCTCACAGACCCGCTCATCTGCTCTTCATCCACATCTGTATTTTGACCTGTGTCTTTCTGATCTGTCTCTGTCAGACCTGAGCTCGGACCTTGTGGGTCGCCTCCAGGTCCGGGACCAGCTGAGGACTGAGCAGGACGCCATGCTGCTGGAGGTCCAGGATCTGACCTCATTGTGAAGCAGCCGAGGTTCACACGAACATTTGAACACTGTTTTTATAGGACGATGTCACAGTGACCTCACAAACACCTCCATGTGACCAAAGTCTGAGCAGCCAGTCACTGAGAGGACTGAGATGACATCATTCAGCTGCTCAGTGTTTATGTTGTTGTCTGTGTTTATGTGTTTATAAGGGAAATTTAGTCAAGTCCGAGGGTGAGGGTGATGATGGTGATGGTGATGAAGGTGATGGGGGTGGAGCCTTACGGTGCAGCGAACTGAGCTTGACACCAGATCCAGCAGTGGACACGTTTTGCCTTCAGACTCAGAGTCGGACCAGAAGATCAGGACCAGTTTCTTCTCCACGGAGTCCACAACACATTCAGGTCCGGGTCCTGTTAAACCAGCTCAACACCAGGACTGGAAGAACCTGGTCAGCAGTGGAGTCTCTGAGCCTCAGCTGTGAAGATGAAGGTTTGGGGTTCAGCTGATGTTGTTGTCAGAGATGCTCAGTGGTTGTGTTTGAGTGTTTCTGTTTGAACCCTGACCTCAGTCTGTGCTGACATCATCAGTCACTACAGCCGTGGAGAAACCACCAGCTGATCTCTGAACTTCCTGTTTGTGTTCACACAGTCACCGTGAATCCAGATCTCCTCAGTCCCACAGTCCTGCTGAGCTGATGATGATCTGGTCTTTAGTCCTCCTCATGAAGACTCGGTCTGACCAATCACATCACTGCTCTGTTCAGGACACTGAGCTCTGAGTGTTGATTGGCTCCATGTACAGCTGATCAAAGTATGATTGATTATCCAGAATGTTTCACTGACAGAACAGCCTGTGGAGGGTTTGTCCGCTGTGGAGCAGAGTTTTGATGAGCATGAGGTCAGGTTGTATCCTGTGGAGGTGTGATCCATGTTCCTGTTGATTGATCTGTCTGTGGTGCTATCATGGAAACATTGAATTTGTTATGTCTTTGTGAAGAGGAGCAGAGGGAGAAGATTCACTCAGTGTGTTTTTATAAACCTGGACTGAGACAGAAAACATCCAAAGAGCAGCACCTGTAGTAAACAGAAGAACTTTATTCGACTGACGTGTTTCAGCTTGTGGGCTTCATCAGGGTCATCAGAGAACAGATCACACCAAACATTTAAATAGGATAGGTATGAAACAAAAAAATACAAAACAGCCAATCACATGTCAGCACATACATATCTGCCTACGGGGCTTCTGCAAAGGTGGGTTGGGCCAATCGTTGTCTCAGGCTGGTGGAGAACGTCCAATAGAGGACCTGGGTGCCGCCATGTTGGATTGTCCCAAATGTGTCCATTTGATATGGCATAGCAGCCCCCCAAAAAACTTCAATAAAAAATGAGAATAAAACTTGATCGTGTAAAGTGGTATAGTTTTATACCTATTTTATTTGAATGTTACATGTGATATGTTCTGTGATGATGACCCTGGTGGAGCCCACGAGCCGAAACGCGTCAGTCTAATAAAGTTCTTCTGTATTCTACAAGTGCTGCTGGAGTTTTGACCTCTTTGGTTGGACCTTTTCCTTTCTCCATGCACTGTGGATGAAGGTGAAGTTGTGCCAGAAACCTTCCTTTGAGACAGAAAACATCACAGGACATTGTCAAGTCTGTAGAGACAAATACATTAAATCAGTGTTGTTGATGTTTTCACGCAAAGATCCAGTTCACAACTAAAATGATCATGAAATGACACAACCAGTGAGAAAATAACAGACTTCATTGTAACAGTGTGTTTTACCAGTACAGTATCTGTACAGGGAGTTAACGCTTGTCAGTGCTTTAACTCTTGTTCCTGCTCAGCTTCAGACTGATGTTGAAAGGGGCTCATGTTAAGAAGCTGCTGACTCTCAACAATCTCTCTGTTTTCTACTGTAGAGATATTAATGTTTTGTACATGCATGTCTTTGTGTAGGTTTTTAGGTCTGAATGTTTGTTCTGTACAATCAGCACAGTTTTATTGATCTGTTGGGTCTGGATATGTAAGGGAAGATATTTTATTCCGTTTTTTGTGATATTTTTCATTGAACAAGCATCATAACTACGGAGTTTTTTTCCTCTCACTTCTACTTATACTGTTTTTTCTTTTGTTTGCTCGCTGTCAGTGAATTCTGTCTGTAAACTGAGTTTCAGTCACAGCTGAAAACCCAGTTTGAAAATGTATAATTTAACTGAATTTACCACTCGAACCATTTAATTCCTGACAGTTATTTCAACACCAGCTTTTATGACATGTAGCAAAGTCGACGTCCAGTATTTTGGACCCAGTGGTTTTCCTCAGCATCCTGGCCTCTGTTAGTGGGCCGCTGAGTGAGTCGGGGTCCACCGGTCAAGAATCTGTCCCTGACCTCAGACAGACTCCTTCATGTTGTTATTACGTCCAATGTTTTCATCATGTGACCAGCTCTCAGCCCATGAGCATCATGTTCTGACCAGTGAAGATTTTCACTGACGAGGCTGATACCTTCTTCCAGGATCAAACAAGTCTGTATTAGAGGAACCAGGTTAGAATTAACAGGATTATCTAATCATGTTAATTAGTTAATTAGTAAAGAGAAGACCTGGCTCCTGTTAAAGTCTTTTTATTTACCAGAAACAGCAGAAAATATTGTTTACATCATGTAGTTGTTGTCTTTATATTCACAGGTGTTTGTGTATAAAACCTGTTCATGAACTGGAGACTGATTTTAATTCTGTTTACATCTGATTACAGATTAAATAAATAAAGTGTTAGTGCAGTTTCTCTGTGTGTGTGTGTGTTTAAAACTGATAAGAAATTTACAGTATAAACTACTGTTACCTTTAATCTGTATGAGGTTCTGTGTTCACAGGCTACATTTAAAATGTGACACAAATCTGAGCACCAAGACAAAAGTGATTAAATTGTTAAAGTAGAAGAGAACAGAACTGATCCAGATATTAATAAATATAGTCACTGCTGGGCACTAGAATTAAACCCAGTTCTAACAGTTAGCAGTTAGGCTAACACTGTTAGCGCACAGAGACTGAACACAGACAGTGATCGTCGTCAAAGGTACATGAATGTAAATGTGTTGGTGGAGTCACTTTATCTGTGTGTGTGTTCTCAGGCTCCATTGAAAAACATCCAGCAGAGCTCAGCAGGTGAGGACACACACATACACATACACACACACACACGCACACAGACAGGTGAAGCGGGGAGGAAGACTTGGATGACACACTGAGGGACAGGGGGAGGGGCTGAATTACCATAGAAACTGGTGAGACTGTTCAGAGCAGCAGCAACAGGAGGTGAAAGCTGAAGTGGTTCAACTGTCAAGGTCACTGATCCAGACTGCTACGACCCAGATCACTGACCACAGCTGATGTTTCCTGAAGGTTTTACAGGACCAGGTTCTGTGGTCCAGGCACTCTGCAGTCGGAGCCGTCTGGAGGTTTATTCTGATGGGAGACAGAACAGGAGCCATATGGAGTAGAAGTCATCCCGGCACAGGTAAGCTCTCTGTGTGGCGGCAGATTGCAGTGATGCAGGTATTTATGAGTTCATGAGGTTCCCTGTACACAAACAGTGAATCCTGATGCGGCTCCGCAGACCTCAGAGGTTATTTTTAGTCCCGAGCTTTTTCCACAGCAGTAGAGCATCAGCTCACTTTAAACATCAGATCCAGAATCAGTTTATAACTGACTTTAAAAACTGATCTGAACGAGACTGAATATGAATTCAGATCCATCAGGCCGGACTCCGTGTGGTCTGGGGTTTCTCAGAAGCTGTTAGCTGCTCCTGGAAAACTACCTGAGGATCTGGCCTCAGTCCAGAAAACAGAGAGCTGGGATCTGTCACAGTAAGTTTTCACAAGATCTGGATTCTCAGTCTTCATTTTACATTCATTTCATTTTGACGCCATTTCTGTCTCATGTTCCTTTATATCTGTAGACTATGATTTAAAGACCAGGGCGTCACTGTAGCACCACAATGCTTTATTTATGGTCTGTTGTTATAGTGACACATTTTACCTTTATCAAAAAACTGCAGCTCCTGTAATTTGAATATTGCACTTGTCGTATTGAAATTTCAATAATATTCAGTTTAATTGTTCAGCCCTAATTACTATATAAAAGCTGGTTGTGTAACAGTGAAATATGTAAATGAATAGAAACCAACAGAATAGTAGAAAACAAAGTCCATGAGAGATTTTCAGACAGCAGCTGGTTTCATTTATCTCTGTATAAAATCTTTTAACAGACTCAATGTTTGTTAGTTAGTGTGTGTACGTGCACTTCAGTAACTCTTCTTAAACATCACATATATGTAAACATGTATAGATGTAACCAGGTGTCACTACTTAGAGATTTCCGGTTAAAGGAAGAACTGACACACATCAGTGTAGAGATGTATTCAAACCTAATGAATTCAAAGTCAGAGGAAAACTTAAAGTTGTCTCTATAAATCTAAATAAGTTGGTTTCTACAACTTAACGTGATTATTTTTAAAATTCAGACACTTGCTGTAAGGACAAACTGTCTCTGTCACTGTCCTATAGATTCGCATATTGTGTAAAAAATGAATAGAAGTCAATGTCTGTCTGCAGCTGTAGTAAAAACATCATAAATATAAAACGGTGATGCAGCTTTTAAAACCAGTCATCATCTGTAGTGAAGGAGCAAACACAGGTGATTTACTAAACTACTGATGAAATGATTGTCTGAATGGTTCATTAGAGGAGGTTGTCTCAGTAACCATTAACAGTTGTAAATGTCTTTGCTCTTGGTTTGAGCTCTTTATTGAACACAGCCATTAAACATTCACAGCTCTGGTGGAAACAGTCAGTGAACCTTGGATTTAATAACTGGTTGAACCTCCTTTGGCTCCAATAACCTGAAACCAGCTCTTCCTGTACCTGCTGATCAGACCTGAGCGGCTCTCTTCTGCTCAGTCCACAGCATCCCTACTGGATTCAGGTCTGGGCTCTGACTGGACCACTCCAGAAGGAGGATTTTTTTTTATGTTTATGGCCATTGTCCTGCTGCATCAGCAGGTAAGGGAGGATGTTTTCATGTTGGTGTTGATGTCTCATCAGTCCATCAAACATTTTCCCAGTAGCGTTGTGGAGAACTGGTCTTTGACAAACTTCATCTCAGTGATGGAGAACACTGATATGTGCACGAGCAGAGATGTGAACCAGCTCAGGTGATTAATTTAAAGTTCTATTCTTCTGGAACTTTGTGATGTCACAACAAAGCAGTCACCGCTCTCAGCCAATTTTCTACCAATCACTTACTTTTCATTTCGCTTTCAACTGAAAACCAGCTGTTATTGTAGCTGCTGTCCTGGGAAAACATATTTCAGCCATAATTTCCTCAAATACACCGCCATCACACCCCTGCTGGTAGACGTCGCTTCCATGCACTCACCTCTCTGCATCAATTTCAGACGGGGTATTTCCGTCTGAATTTGACTGTTTGTTCAGCTCATTTCAGTACTGACTAACCGTCGCCATTAGGGTTAGTTTTACCAAGCTACAGTAGTAGGCACGACTCTTTTACCTGTGGTTGTCCTGGCCATATGTCACTCAGAACAGTCAACCAAAGGCTGATGTAATAATAATAACACTTACTCCTGGGAACATCATCATGATGACAGGTGTCATGGCTGCTGTGATCCCAGGTAACTTCAGTGATCCGTTTGTGTTGAGCTGTTCGAGTCATCTCAGCTGGACGTCCACTTCTATGCAGAAGAGCCACAGAACTGAATCATCTCCATTTATAGACAGTTTGTCTGACTGCAGACTAATGAAGATCTAAACTCTGAGACTCTTTCAGCTTCACGCTCATCCGCTCTTCTTCATCCTCAGTCACTGAGATCTTTGTTGTGAGGCCTGGTTCACATCAGCTGATGTTTCTCTTAATTTCAGAGTGTTTTTTATAAGTCAAAGTGTCTCTAACACACACCTCCAATCTGGTTTCACTGACTGACTCCAGGTCTGATAAGGTGTTAGCACACCTGAGCTAAAGCTAATTGGCGTCAGTCACATACCTTTTCCAGCCCACCCTGTGAATGTTTTAATAATATATGTATATATGTAATATATGGACATCATGAACTTCATAATTACAAAGGCTTCCCTCACTGTTTCTTGCCTCTGTATTTGTGTTTTCCTGTTAATATGTCATGTTACTGGTTGACACATCACCCCTATTTACTTGAACTCTGTGGTGAAGTGCTGGTATAACCTGAGGATGGCTCACTTCACACTTACACGATCACTGCCTGTGTGCTGATGGTGAGCCTATGAACTGAGAGCTGGAGCCTGACTTCATGTTGACTTTGATGATCCTGTAGCTCCCCTCCATGTAAAATAAAACTAGAGATGGTTTTTGTAAAGACAGTCTCCAGTCAGTCGAGTGAGAGTGAGGGCTGATGGTCAGAGGGAGGGAGACACCTGAGGTTGTGTGGTTACTTATTGCTGAGCTAATGGGGTGAGAAGAGACTGAATCAGCAGCATACCCTTGTACACAGGAAGGCAAACAAGCACTAAGAATCAGCAGCGTACAGCAGGAGGTCAAACAGATTGTGTAAAGGCAACAGTCAGAGAGTCGGGGGTAGATGGGGGTAGGGAAGCACCACCTCTCTCCAGTCAAAGAAAACTAATGTAGAGCGTTGTTTACTTCAATTGATGATTTAAGCTAGATGCTAACATCAATATGCTAATATACTCTCAATGTTAGCAGGCTGGTGTTTATGAGGTAATATGTTTAGTTACTTCTAGCTTAGCATTGAACACAAAGTACAGCTGAGGCTGATGGTTATGAAATATAGTGTTGGACAAACTGAAGTTTTGACCTGATGATGATGAAAGTTAACAGATCATCAGAGACATCAGGATTTATTCATTCATTCCAATTTACCACTCTGTTGTTGTACAGATGGAAGTCCAGCTGTGGAAACGCACATTACACTGAATTTATCAACAGGTTAACATGGAGGAACTGTAGAGGCTGATTGAATCAACACTGAAGTACCACAACCGCTGTTC